ATTTTTTAGCTTTTGTAGATACATGTAATATAAATTATTTTAATTTTTGATAGTTGAAAATTTATTTAATTTTATAATTAAATTCAATATTAACACCTTTCAAATGGATGCATCCATGGATATTGCACAACTTTTACAATAAAAGCCTCATATGACAAATGGTTTGAAAGATATTTCATGGAATCAAAAAAGCTAGGTGAGAATATATGTTCTAGTTTGTACAAAATGATGGGTATCTCATTATTAAGTTACAACATATCTTCTTCCCTTATCACTTGTAGAAGTTAATTGCTTGAAGAACAAACTCAACTATGTAAGTTCTTGTCATATATTTCCTAGCAAAAACTCCTAAAATGCAATTGGAGCTAGCCTCTATATGAAGACGTGATAGTCATGATTTTTTATTCCGTAACATTTGTCATGTCGCATAGCAATACATCTAGTTAGGTTAGACATATATCTATCGAGAAACCCGAGTTGTTTGATCCATTAAAGCAATTTTGATTTCTATTGTTTAGATACGATAAAGGAAACTTTAGGATATTTCCTAAACGTATCATCCTTTGCTAATTTTGGCTTTTTATAGAAAATTTTCAAGTTTTTTCTAGAGTTGACATTGTCTTAGGCTTACTCGACACATTCATGATTGTGTTAAAAACATTTTCAAACATATTTTTCTCAACATGCATGACATCTAAATTGTGTCGAATGAGATTTATACTCTAGTAAAACAAATCCCAAAAAATACTTCATTTCCTCCATCCACACATCCGAGAGATTCTACCGTTATGATCATCTCGTATCATTTTTTATCACTTTCAACAACCCTCACTATTCCACCATATGTAACATCTCGGCTCCAAATCGATTGGAGGATGGTCGGATCTAATAACCTTTTTATGATGAATGCTTTCTTGTTTCTTCTATATGGATGATCAATAGGAAAAATCTTTCGATATTATCAAACCATGGGGTTTTTCTTCCATTAGGAAGGGAGAAAGCATCCGAATTTTTCATACAATAAGGACAAGCTTTTTTCCTACAATATTCCAACCGGATAGCATCGAATATGTAGGAAAGTCACCGATGGTCTATATAACCGTATTTTTTGATAAAAATTCTACTTACGATAGACATCGTAGGTTACCACATCCACATCTCATAACTCGAATAAGCTTGAATATGAAAGGCTATAAGTTAACGTCTAACTTATGTTTCGAATTTGTTGGACTCGTAACAATCAATGTTAGGAACGTATATTCCTCCTTTATATGCATCTATGGTGGCAAATTATATAGAGTCATAATTACCGGTCACGAAGAATATTGTGTACTAGATTGATCAAATGATTTAAACCTATTAGTGCACACTCCTAATCTAACATTCGTTCTTTTAATTGCAAAAGGAAGATTAATCTAATTGAAACTTCACCTTGTAATAGAATCGAAAAGATGACACATTACTCCCGCATCATCCGCCTCATGTTCGATGTGCCACGTCATGTGTTCAATTGTTGTATGCGATACATACAATCATTACGGATGTGGGGTTAAGGGAAACTAATACATTTTTTTAATTGTAATAAGTCTTACTCCCGTAGATCCCCAACAAGAACTTTGATATAATTAGATAATTACAAGTTCCGTCAACATCTTCAATATCGAAGATGTTGACGTAACTTATAATTATCTAATTCACTATATTCCTTCTAATAGAACATACAACCGTTCGACAATAATGGATTTTTTTCACTCGGTAAACCCATGCTCTTAACCGACCTTCTTTGTTTCATAAAAGTGATATATCATACGATTATCAATAGGCATTAACTCATTCATCGACTCATATAACTAGTCGAAACATTTCTCCGGAAAATAGCATTCGATTTTTAGATTCAACATTTGAGCAACTCGTCGATAATTGCGGGTGTTCATCATAACTACATCGAATCTCTCTACGTAATGCATTCAACATATCATAAAAGTGTTAGGCGTTAGGATTTGGAACCTCCTCCATGCTAGATGGATCGAAGAATGGACCGGCTATATCCGTTACCATAGTTTAATATTGATTTTGGGGTTCACGAGAACTACCTTCACCTACATAATAATTTCTAGAATATAATGACTCTAATAATCAATAGATACCACATAGGACTCAAATTCGCCATGATGTATCCAATCATAATATCCCGACACGAAATCCGTTCGACATAAATGATATTTTACCATTTCAATCTCCTCATAATTTCGTTTCGATACTTACCGTAATTACAAGGACACCTAAATTTGATTACGTCCGTACATTCGGGATGCTCAACATCAAAAACTAAAAATTATTTAACTCTTTTGATAAAGTCATCATTTAACAACTCGTCAACTAACCTAACATTCAACCATTACCGATCGAATCTCCTATTGTAAAAATTACAAAAAAGACACAAATAATTATTTATCAACATTTCTATGAATTTTAAATAAAAAAAAAAGCATATATATTGCTTGTGTAATTAATAGTACTTGTTATGAATTTTGTTTCAAGAATTTGACTTTATATTTAATTGATTATTTAAAGAATGATTACATCTTCTTTCTCTTTCTTTTTATTCTAAAATATTTAATTTTAAAATAATTGAATGATTGATTGTGTAATTTTATTTTTTTATTTTTATTTTTTTACATGTTATACCCTAACTTGCTATTAGTAAACATATTTGCACTTTATTTCAATCAAGTTCTTAAACTTTGATTTTTTTAAAAAAAATTTAAGCTTGTCTTTTTTTTTTATCATATCATTTAAACACTTTCATTAAATTTTATTTTCCGTAATAAAAGAACCCTCTAAAAAATAGTATTATCTTTTATAATTGAAAACGCTTTTTCAATTTTCCCATTTAAAGTTTATTTTTACTAAATTTTCCCATTTAATTTCATAATAAATTGAACTAAACATAATTAAATTAATCCTAAATATAACGTTTATTAAATTTTAACTTTATTTCAATGGAGTTGATATTTGTGTATCAAAATTAGGTTTTTTTGTTTGATTAAATCTTTAACTATAACATTATGATTCAGGAGTGATTTTAAATTTTTATTTGTCAAAAAATGTGAATGAACAATTCAATGTTTGGTTCATAGAAAAAATTTAAAGAACGAAAAACGATGGATTGTTTATGTCTATTTGATTTTGTTTACATGGAGCTTTAATGTTGATTTATACTTTACTTTGTTAAAAGAAAATATTTTTCTTTAATATTTATTTCTTAAAAAATTAAATAAATTGAAAGAAAGAAAACAACAGATTCTTTGTTTAATTGAACGTTGAACATTTTTAATAATTAAGCTATAATAATTACTTCTAATTTTTATATTCGAAATAACCATTAATTAAATTAAATTAATTCTAACTAATTACATTATTTTAAATTTAAGTATTACTTAAATTTAGAAATAACAACAAAAAACTTAAAAATATTAATCCAACAACTAATTAAAATAAAAAAAACATAACAAATTAACAATAAATTAAAAAAATTAACCAACTAATTAATAAAAAAATAACTTAATATTTAATCAACCAATTTATCTAAATTACCTAAAAAATTACATAATTGAAATTTAACCTAACACTAACAATTAATAAAATCCAACTAATAATTAATAAATTTAAAATAACAATTAACAATTGCATAACTAAATTTTAATATAAAAATTAATAACAAATAACTTAAAAATTAATCAACCTTATGTAAATTACATAAAAAAAAAAACCTAACACTAACACTTAACAAATTTAATCTAATAATTAAAAAATTAAATAAATAAATAAAAATTTAAACTAATAATTAAAATAAAAATTAACACTAACGATTAATGACATTACACTAATAATTATAAAAATAAACTAATAAATAAAAAAATTAAATAAATAATTAACTAACTAACAATTTAAAAAATTAACAAAATAACTAATTACATCCATGTGATTGAGAAAAAACCTTTAGATCTAGCAAGAGAAAAACTTACCAAAGAGATGAAGGTGAGTGAGGAGAGATTGCCTATGGACGGAGTTTGGGGAGAAGGATGCTCCTTGCCGAAAGTGGGTGGCGTGCAGCAGCATCAAGGGGTTTTTAGGTCCGGCAGCAGCGGGTTTGAGGAGAGAGAAGGGCGAGGCGACGCTTAGCAACAACCTAATGGATCCGTCACTAATTTGAATTTCAAATCCATTGACGAGCCTTGTCCCCTCGATTTCCACAACTCGCTTTACGAATTAGCGATGAACCATGACATTTAACGACGGATTATTGACATTCATTGCCCAAGATGAAAATAGCGACGGATTATTATTTTCGTCACTACATTAACTATGGTATTCCGTCGCTAATTGTGGTGCGTTTTTTTGTTGTCCTTTCTAACGACGAGCACAATTCTATCGCTAACTTTTCATCACTCGTTTCATCACCGAATAGTCACTAAAATAACCTCTTTTTCCTTCCTCGCTAATCCATTGGTAATTAGTAGCTATTTAGAGACAGAATGTAATCCGTCGCTAATTGTCTATTTTTTATAGTAATTAATAATTATTCTTTAAATTTTTTCTAAAATGTCAGTCCCACCGCAACAATAGCCAACTTAGTTGATTTTACTGTTATCTCCCCAAATCTAGAATAAATATTCATCCATAATATTCCATATAGAGATATTTTCGAAATAAACGTGGTTTGACGCCTATAACCCAATAATACTCTCTTTTTCCAGTCTGAAAACATATTATGCTAACTTGAGATGTATAATCAGCCCAACATCAAGAGTAAGGCAAGCCCACTTAAAACATGTTGCATTTAGTTGCCGAACAAGCCTAAATAAGTCCACCTGGCTCTCTTTACAACCACAACTTGAGAAGGCCTATCTATAACTACATATCCAAATCAAAAATATCTTTTCCCGGGTAAACTCTTACTTCGCCTGCACCCCTTGTTACTCAGAAAACATTCATCCATGGCTATTGCTTCCTCCTCTCTTCTCTCTCTCAACTCTCACATCTCGTCCGCATCTTATTTGCACAGATCCCCACACAGAACTAGAAAATTTTTACGAAGACAATCTTGGCTTCTTTTCCGAGCAAGAAATCATGCAACCAACTCTGTGTCAGTCTTTAAAGCTAAAGTAACTGATGATGTTGGTGAAGAAGACGTCGTCGTTGTGGGTGCTGGAATTGCTGGACTTGCCACTGCAGTTTCTCTTCAAAGGTTAGATCATTATCCAAATCGTCAGATTACAGAAGGATGTGTTGAACCTGATGATTTCGTTGTTTTGGTTTTTATAAATCATTTCCATATAGTTGTTTGATTGTGAATGGTTTCCCAGTGTTTTTAGAAGTGGCTGCTAATTGGCTAGCTAATTAATTTGTTCCTATTTTTCAGACTTGGAGTTCGGTCATTGGTGCTTGAGCAAGCAGAATCGCTTAGAACTGGTGGAACCTCGCTTACCCTTTTCAAGAATGGATGGAGGGTATTGGATGCAATTGGAGTTGGAAGTGATCTTAGGAGCCAATTTCTTGAAATTCAAGGGTATATCTTCCTTTCCTGGTTCGAATTATATACGACAATTGACCATAACTATGTCTGTTGTTAAACCATATATAAACTGTTTAGAGATTTGCTTAAAAGGACTCAATTGTTGCATTCCCTATCCATCCAGCAATATTATTTCACTTGAAGGGAAAAAAAGAAAAAGAAAAACACTTCAGCATTTCACTGGTTCTCTTCTTTGCAAGAATGCTTCTTTAATGTGTTACACTGAATTTTGATATCATAGATGTCGAGTATAAATACTGATCGGTGAATTCTCTAATGTGTATTTAGTTAGATATTTCTTAACCAATCAAACTTCTAGTATGGACTTGTCTAAGTTGTTGAGCACACCGTAAACTTAGCCACATTATATAAAGCAGTAGGTTCCCTTTCTTTCCAAGTACTACAATGGTTGAGGACCATCCTTCAACATACACGTTTCATACCAGAATGGGTTCTTTTGGTGATTAATTTCCTGGATTCAAACTCAAGTATATGTAGTTAGGTTTGTTCTGTTTATATTTGCTATCTTGTATGGCTTGTTTCTGCCCTTGGGGCAGGTAATTTATTATCTGGCTTGGAAGGTTGGATTTTGAGCTTCCTGTATATCATCTCTTTTCCGGCCAAGGAAGAATTAAGTCAATTCCTGACACGAAATTTACTGAATGAAAACTTCATCCATGCCTCTTTTATTCTCTCCTGAACTTGTTCATGTGATCAGCTGTGCAGGATGGTGGTGAAGTCAGAAGATGGAAGGGAGCTGCGTTCCTTCAGATTCAAAGATGAAGATGAGAGGTATTGACAAGCATGGTTTCCCCTTTTCATTTAGACTAAAAAAGGAAGTAATTTTTGGGTTTTTTCATAACTTATATATAATATATATGATCGCACAGCCAAGAAGTTCGTGCGGTAGAGAGGAGAATCCTTCTAGAGACTCTTGCCAGTAAGCTGCCATCAGAAGCAGTTCGATTCTCTTCAGGGCTGGCTAAGATGGAGAGAGGAGAAAATGGAAAAATGCTTCTGGAACTTGTGGACGGGACTAGGCTACTTGCAAAGGTTAATCAATTTCTATATCTTGTTAAATTTACGTGAAGAGCTCAGTCTTGGCGATAACTGGCCTTGTCATGTTTCATGTCTGCCTCTAAATTTAGTTGTTTCTTTATCTGATCTGTGCATTCTTTATACCTTTCAACAGATTGTTATAGGCTGTGATGGCATTCGGTCTCCAGTTGCAAAGTGGATGGGGTTCTCTGAACCCAAGTATGTAGGGCACTGCGCATTCCGAGGACTTGGGTTTTATGCCAATGGGCAGCCATTTGAACCACAAGTGAATTACGTCTACGGGAGGGGATTACGTGCTGGATATGTTCCAGTTTCTCCTACAAAAGTGTACTGGTTTATCTGCTTCAACAGCCCATCTCCAGGTCAGTGATTCTAACATTCTTGGAGGATCTACTTTCAATCCAATGAAATGTTGATTCTTCACTTAAGGAGGTTGGTAACTTGAGATGGAAACAAGATTTAGCTGTTGGAAACAAAGCATACTTTTGGTTAGTGCCATCAAAGTTCCTTCTACCGCCAGCTTCTTTTGCTCTGAACTCTTCTCTGATGCCATTTAGATGATGTGTTCATAGGGTTTCTTGTTCTACATATCGCTTTAAGAATAGCAAAAGGCATATTCTTGAAATGTTGCTTCGTTTCGTATATGATTTGCCATTTTCGATGATTCTTACTGCAGGTCCAAAGACCACCGATCCATCTGTGTTGAAGAAGCAGGCTAAAGAACTAGTCAAGAACTGGCCGTCTGATCTATTAAACTTAATAGACCTAACCCCAGATGAAACAATCAGTAAAACTCCTCTGGTGGATCGTTGGCTGTGGCCAGCCATAAGCCCTCCCCCATCAAACGGAACGACTGTTTTGGTTGGAGATGCGTGGCACCCAATGACTCCCAATCTGGGACAAGGTGCTTGTTGTGCATTGGAGGATGCGGTAGTTCTAGCAAGAAAGCTTGTAAATGCAATTAACTCTGGACCAACTTCTGTAGAAGATGCTATGAAGTCATATGGAATCGAAAGATGGCCTCGTGTCTTTCCATTAACCTTACGAGCCAATTTTGTGGGCTCAATTTTGCAGTGGGAGAGCCCTGTTGTCTGTTCTGTTCGGAACAATATAGTCATACCTAAGCTAGTTAAGCTTGGACCACTTTTGGAACATACGAACTTTGATTGCGAACCTTTACTGCAGACAAACTTCTGAAGTTCCAAGAAACAATGATCCAATGAAGAAAAACAGGGAGGAATTATCACATCATAGCTGCCAGCAAAACCTTTTTCCTTCTCTCTCTCTCTCTCTCTCCATTGCACAGAGATCTTTATAGTTCATACACTTCATTTTACAGATGAATTGTCACGTTGAGTTCATAATGTTTACAGCATGTAATGCCATCCTAATAGTAGAGTAAAGAACTTTCTTCTTATGGTTTTATGGTTTATATATATATATATATATATATATATATAAAAACAGTTTTAAACAGTTTTCCGTATAATTTATTAAGGTAATGTTGTTTGCCCATTTATGCCTTAGCTCCCTCATTGCGAGAAGCAGCTCCTCGCATCTTTCAAGGACAAATGACTTCGACTAGGAAAAGTATGTGGAGAGTTTTTGACAGCGAAGATGCATGGTAACACGTACACAAAGTATCTCCCTCCACAGAGACTTTCATGACAAAATTCCATTAGGATCATTAGGCATTTTGGAGGATCTGATGGATATCGTTGCAAAATGACATCTCCGAGTCTCAATCCAGAGCCATGAAACGTAAAAATGCAAGCCTGAGCACCCAGCACATTTGCTCTTTTGGCTCTTCCTAACGCTTAAGGTTAACCTTTACTAGTATGAACTATGAACTATGAACTATGAAGCATCTACCAACAGAACTGTAGCCGTGACCCCTCCAAATTTTTTGAATTTTGATATCATCCACCGTGAAATATGTTCTCTTGCATTTGGTCCTACTCCTAGAATTTTTAATTATTTAGTAATATTTTCAGTTTTAAATTATTTTTATAATGTTTAAATGACATATGTAGTACCTAGAAAAACTAGCAACGTGATTTAAGACCTAGAAATAACAAAAACAGGTAGAATGAGGATGACAATAGCCTCTTGAATTATGAGATCGATACCCTGTGATTTTTTTTATTTCAACCTTCATACTTTTTTTTTTTCAATTAAAATAGAAAGATAGGTAGATTATTTTGCACCATCTGACATAAAACATTACATTTCACATCGCACCACTATTTTATCTAAAAAAAACCTCACTATACTTATGTCGGGTTCAAAATTTAGAGTTTTTCTAAAAATAGTTATGATTATACATAAAAACATAAATACATCACCAACCACAAACTATAGTAAGTAAAATTCGAACTCTCAACTTTATAAATAAACGTTTCACGAGAAATTTATTTACCATAATACCAACCGACCTGCTATTATCCGACCTCCATACTATAGGTAATCGACACTTCCTTTGTTTCTTTTGTTTAAGTTTTATCCATTTAAGCCTTCAGAGAACACTCACAAGCTACGCATTCTAATATAAAATATTCAAAACTCATTATAAAATAATAAAATGCGACTCTCACATCCTACTTAACGACTAATATGACGGGAACTAGCAAAAAGAGTGTCCAAACACTCCCTAATTTAGGGATTGAAATAAAAGTTTTAAAAAAAAAAATCAGAGATGTTTGTAAAAATGACCCATAATATAAGAGGTATAGGTACCATTTAACATATGCACTATCTGTGTTTTTCATTAACAGTTACTTTCTTGGTTTCACATACACTATTTACATAATCACATCCTATAGTTATTTAGGTTAGAATGAACGAGCTAGTTATCTAGGCCTATTACTAAAGAAAATAAAGGCAGCAAAAATAGTTTTACTTGTGATAATCAAAAGCACAACATTCAACGAGAATGGACAAAGAAAAAATTGAATTGAGCTACCAATTTCCAAACTGATCAAGAAAAGAATACAGAACAAAAATAGATGGCAACATAAAGAACAAGGAAGTTTTTTTTTTTTTTTTTTTAATAAAAAACAACATGCATTATAAATTGCAAAAAATAAAAAATAAAATATTATGATTTTTCTTTTTCTCCATATGTGCAGCATATGGTCCTTGTATGAAGTCAGCTTCATAAGGCGGAGAATGCCACCTAAGCAAGTTCTTCATTGTGTCATGTAAATGAAATCCAATAGCTAAACTTATTACCAACAACCAAACCCACGCATAAATTAAGTGAAATTGGGAATCCACTTCAGCATTTATAACAAATGGCGAGGCTTATGAAATCGAACCCAGAAGAGGGGGAAAAAAAGGTTAGCTAGCACAGAGCCTATTTCCTAATGGTGCTTCACTGGTTAGAAAAGTATACTACTGAAGAAAATATTTTGACTTGCTCTAAATAGTCCATATTTTAGTATTTGGTATTGCAATCCTACATCTCAAAGAAAGGCAACATTGACAAATTAAGTTAGAACAAATGTAGATAGCATTTGAGATGATTCTCTTGGCTTGTAATGATTCCGGATGGTTGTGGCCTACCGGAATCTGGATTTGGAATGTTGGGTTAGGTTTCTAATATGGGGCTATTAGAGATATGCAATGCAGTACAGGGACCAAATGCACCATAAACCAAAACTATTGATGCATTGAGTTGCACATAAAGAAAACTGTATACATAAAATTATACGAGCATATATAAAGATGCAATCAAAACGTTGAGTTGTTTTTGTATTTCGCTCACAAACTGATCATGTTAAAAGATCTCAGTGATAATGCTTCTGCTCAAGTAACATGGTGGCCTTTTGGCAAGATGAGAGATAAATCAGATTGGGTTGAAATACTTGAGCTCTATTTCTACAGCAAAACCTGCCCATTAACCAATGTCATTGTCAATGTGATCGATTCTCACATCCTCGACTCTGCCAAAAATTAATCAGAAAATGATCTAATTAAAAAGGTATATCATAATATATGCATACTTCTATCTCTAAACTAAGATCATTTTATGGAAGGCATATCAGTTGAAAAATTTACAGCCACTGCACATCCTCGGATAAGAGAAAACTATGTACTGTTCAATGCATAGTATTCTGAAACAGTAGCAATTACGTAATTATTCAGTCTGATGAAAGATTAGGAAAAACACAACAAATGGGTTCACTAACAAAACAGAAAGGAAAACAGTTTCCAACTACAAATCTGTGATGCAAGATAGTGTGATCTACATAGCGTTGAGAAATATGATTTTTGAAAGCCTGTGTCAGAACAAAAGATAAAAATAGGCAAATGGGTCATGAGGAATTTGGTATAAACCTGGATTGACTAAGAACCAAAACGCAAATGAATGAAATAAAAAATGTCAAATTCTGCTATCCAAAAAATGAGACAAACTAATGTTCAATAAATCTTCTTCCATACAATCTAATCAACCAACAAAAGATGTGGCATGAATAAGAGTTGATCGTATGAATTCAATCAACGTACACAAAATTTTTCTACTCACAAATTCTTAAGATCGTACAAGAAATCTCTATATCTAAGTAGGAAAAAAGTCTTGCAGAAACTGTTCATTTCATAGTTAAAATATCATTCTCAGTCTAACAACCTTTTAGCTAATTGATTAGTTAATAAGATAGCATCACTGTAAATGTAAGTACATGAATTGAATAAACTATTTAGATTGATTAAAGAATAAAGCTGTGAATAAAGCAATCAATCACTGTATCGATTGAGAAAAAAAAGGTAGGTAAATAGAAAGAAGAGAGGATTTTACCTGGGGAGTTGGAGAAGAACCAGAGAACGATGGCACAGAGAACAAGAACGAGAGGGATCACATGGATTGCATTCTCAGCAGATCTGAGACGAGACCTTTCCTTCTTTCCAACGTGAGAAAGTGGATCATAAGTAGGCAGTTCTTGTTGGTCTTTGTCTGTGTTTCCATTCTTGAACAACTCTTCAGTCACTACAGAACTGCTCGATGATCTCTGCATCTTGTGAATTAGGGTGAGAGAGAGGGGGAAGCAGAAAGATGGGGATTTTGATGCACGTTTCTTTCTTTCTTTTTTCTTTTGACGTACGTTGCGGTCCAAAATGAGGGCCGATGCCAGGTCCAATGTTGAAGTGGATTCCGACTTCCAACAGTGCATTTTCAATATAAAATTAAAAAAAAAAAAAAAAAACAGACGGAATTTTTTTAACCTTTTGTTTTTATAGATTTCTTAATTTTTTTTTTTTTTTTTTTAAGGATCCGTAAAAGAAAAATATGATCACACAACTATACACGTGAGAGTAATTTTTTTATAATGGAAAATACATGTTGAGATAATAGTCAAAGAGTTAATAAGTTAGAAGACGTTGTTGTAATACGAAGATTAACTCAAAATAATCACTTTCTGCAATCCTTGGTATTTGCACATATTTTGTTTTTAATCCTTTAAACAGAAATATTAGTTTTGCAACCAATACTTATGATTTTCTAATTGTATATATATATATATTTTTTTTTATGTAACTCTTTGACATTTCACGAGGAGTCACCATAATTTGGTGACTACAAACCATGGAAGAATAGTTGACAAATGAATCCGAATGAATTATAAATTAATTTTTTATATTTGCAAAATAAATTAGATAGTTCTTTTTGTTTAAAAAATTAATTAATCAATCTCTTAATCAATAGTGATCATTATTAATTTAATGGTATTTTTTACTAAAAATATATTTTTTAATCATAAATCTTTTTATATTTTTTAGTTATCTTTTTCTTTTTTCTATTTATTAAAATAAAAATAAAATAAATTGAAAAAATCAAATGGATTAAGCCATAAAAGATTTATAGGTGAGGATTCATTGGAATCTATATATATTGCAACTTTCTTTTTCCATAAAAATTTTCATTTTTTTCACTATATAACATTTTAAATAAAATTTCCTTTTCTTTTTTTCCTCCCCTCTTTATACGTTTTCTTTCATGTATTTTTTTATGTTTTTTTCCTTTTAATTTCTTGAATCTCGGCACCTAATGGTGAACCTAGGTGGACACAAGTCATCATAGTATTTCAGCTTCTGCTGTTCAACTCTATGCTCAATCCAGTAGAAAACGTGGATGAAGAGGTTAAAATAACAGCAAATTGGAACTGTAGGATTTAATCTAACCAAATTCATAAACCAGAGTGCCGGTGGTGATTTTTAGCCCATTTTAGACACAGGAGAAGAAACCTGCGCATGCTTTTGACCACCCTCTGCAGTAGCCAGTTAACCTTGCCAATAGAAAAAACAAAAACAAAAAAATCTATTCTCTTTGACCTGATGATTCAAGTGAAACAATTCTCTTTGACCTTCTGTTGCACTGCTTCGATGCTTCCTGTAGGCTGCACGTGCTTGATACGCTCATGGATTAGTCGCGTAGATCAGTTCGCTGCGTAGAGAAACACGAAGCGGACGTGTTCACGTAGATTCAACGAAAAGGCTAGGAAATCGCGAGGGCTTTTGGCTTTTCATGACGAAGAAAACTCGGGCGTTGCTTCATCTTAACCTCAGCATTAAACTTTTCATACTTTTGAGATAGTGATTGAAGTGGTAAACTCTGAACCCCTCATTTAAACAAATAAAGAATTATTCGCTTCCAATCATATAAATTACTAGTTTAATTACATACCGAGAGAAAAATTATCATTAATAGCAATCGTTTACAGTAAAAAAATTATGAATTCAAATCCTATTTAATTAGTTTTGTTAGTAACTTCAAAGTGTGAATTAAAAAAAAATGTTTAGTTTTTGAATATTATTTTTATTATGTTTAGATGTAACATTTAAACTCCAATCTTTTTATACTTAATTATTTATTTTTAAAATATATATTGATTTTTTTAATTCTATAAATCTGTGTACAAATAAGTTAATTATATTTTTAATATAAAACATTATACTCGCATGAATAAAAAGTCGAACATAATAATTATTTTTAATTTGGAAATATTTTATTTCACTTTTGAATAAAAGGTTTGAGTATTTTAGCGTTTATTCACATTTATAGGGATCTCATTCCACTTATGTTATCCCAAAAAGTTATAGCACTTCAATAAATAAAACTGATAGATATGTTACATATTTAAAAGATATATATATATATATATATCTTTTCCAAGATGTTTGAAGATGCTAGCATTCCATTTGTCAGAAAAGAAGATTGTATGTTTTTTTTTGTTCCCTCGATGAAACTACTACGTACCATAATTAATTATTTAAACTTCATGATTGTTATGTTCGTGCAATAAATCAAGTGAATGGGCAATACGGTAATATGGGTGGAGAGTGTAGAACACGTGGCAAGCATTAAACCAAAGGGATACGTCACAGCTACTTTTGAAATAAATTCCGACAAATCGAGTTCTCTTTTAAACGAATAAAAACACACGCATTCGATACAACATAGCACGACCCGTCTCACCTCTCTCACCTGTAAACCCAATTGCTCCTCGTTTTTATCCTCTCTCCCTTATTCTCTCTTGCTCTCCGGCGTATTTTAGTTCAAATTTTCGCCGGAACCAGTAATCAAGACGTCTCCCTTCGCCTCTATATAACACTAACACTTGCGATTCAATCGATCCATTAACAACACAAATCAACAAATTATGAATCCTGAATAGTAAGTTTTTTAATCTATCATCATCAAATACTTTTAGTTAAGCTTGATTTTTCAAAAAACAAAATAAATTATGTTACGTATAGATGCAACTATGCTGGATCTGATTGTGGTTAATTAATTAATTCTTTAATTTGAAATTATGCAAAATCGGTTGTTTTCGTGTTGTAATTTTTTTTCGGTTGTTTGGATTTTGATTATTTAGATCCAGGTTCTTTAACTTCAGATCCGTTGACTGTGTTTTCTAATTTGTAATTGAATTGATTGCTATTTGCATAGTAATTTGGGAAATTATTAGAATACAAGTGTTTTTTGTAATAATGACAAGTACTGTTGTTTTGATCTCAATTAGTAATTGACAGCAGTCATGTGTTTTATTATTTTGATTATCTTCATGGTTGTATAACGAAAGGGAAAGAATAAAAAATAATTATGCAATTTTATTTATTTATTTATTTTTGGCAGCGATTATTTGTTCAAGCTTTTGCTTATCGGTGATTCTGGTGTTGGAAAGTCATGTCTACTCTTGAGGTTCGCTGTAAGTTTCTTCTATTTCTAATACTCACGGTGCTTTAGTTCTTCTTAATTTCATCTGAATGTCACGTGTAGTTTTAAGCTCAGCTATTTGTGTATGTTCCTCTCAATAAAACTATACGTCTGCTGTCTATGCGGAATCCATACTTTTTGCGTCTCATGCTTCGTGCGGTGGTAGTGTATCGAAAAGATGGCAGTTTTTTATTTTATTTTTTATGTTTTCTTATCCCAGGATGATTCATATCTGGAGAGTTACATCAGTACAATTGGAGTGGACTTTGTAAGCTGTTATCTCTACAACTTTTCTTCTTTGCCTTTTTACTTCCATCATATAATTATGGGATTGATTTTTTAACTTTTTTGTACTCTGTAGAAAATCCGCACTGTGGAACAGGATGGGAAGACCATTAAACTCCAAATTGTAAGTTATAAAATCATCTTCATGGCTTTTTGAGTTATTTGTCTGGATTTCAGTCTCAACATCCGTATTCATGTGGATTGAAATTCTATTCTACTTAAATGGTTGTGTAGAGCTTTTCTTTCTTTCTTTTTTTTGGGTGGGGAGGGTTGGTTTGAGGTTGGGGTTGTTGGAACTATCTTTGAAGCACGATGATTTATATGAACTGCTCGTTCCATCTATGTAGAAAACTGTGGGTCATTGATGATAATATAAAAATTCCTTGGATATGGCAATCTTCTATGCATAATTATTAAGTGTGTTTCCTGCTCTACTGAATGTTCAGTGGGACACAGCTGGGCAAGAGCGTTTTAGGACAATCACAAGCAGTTACTATCGTGGTGCTCATGGAATCATTGTGAGTTTGCCTCTTCCTCTCTCCCTCTCTCTTCTTGTTCACTTCATACCTTACTTTTTCTCTCTTTTTGAGATGTCTTATGTCGATGGCATTTTGGCTAGGTTGTTTATGATGTCACAGATCAAGAGAGCTTCAACAATGTTAAACAATGGTTGAATGAAATTGACCGTTATGCAAGTGAAAATGTGAACAAGCTTCTGGTTGGGAACAAGTGCGACCTTACAGCTAACAAAGTTGTCTCCTACGAGACAGCAAAGGTAATTTTGGTCATGTAATTCTTTTGTTTGTTTTTGCATGTTGATTCACCTTACAATCTGATGAGTCTGGAAGTTTTAATATGGAATTTGCATCTTTATTCAGGCATTTGCAGACGAAATTGGGATCCCTTTCATGGAGACAAGTGCAAAAAATGCCACCAATGTCGAGCAGGCTTTCATGGCTATGGCTGCAGAGATCAAGAACAGGTGCTCTAAATTTCATTCTTATGTTGCATAACTTTTCTTAAAAAAAAAGAAAATGGAATCCTTTATTTCGCTAGCTGAACGGTTCCCACATTTAGAGGCTGTTTTGCCTTAGAAATTGAACTGACATTTCTTTATTGTGGAGTATTTTATAACGTGGGCATGTTTTAGACTCTTGGCCTCTTATGTTTTGGTTCTTATCTATCAGGATGGCAAGCCAGCCGGCCATGAACAACACAAGGCCCCCGACAGTGCAGATTCGAGGACAGCCTGTCAACCAGAAATCTGGCTGCTGCTCGTCTTAGAAGAGTCAGTGGGAAGTGGGCTTGTGATGTTAACCATGTTGGCATGTAAAACTAGTCGTCTATTCTCAATGCTTTCATATGAAGGTTATTTGTTATGATTTGCTTTTCTTTGTCAGTTGTTTAACACTCCTGTTGAAACTTCAATTCTTTTAAATGTATTTGATTTTAAAAACATCTGTACAAAATAGGAATACTGGTGAATAGCAGTATTTGCCTTGCCTTGCCCTTAAAGCCTTCCTGTCTTCTTTGCATCGATACATATTTTCTCGCCAAGATCTTGAATCACGCATTTTTTTTTTTTAATTGGAGATGAACGTGAACTTGATCACGCTGATGCACCTGATGTGTGGGTGGAAACCCTTTTCTAGCAGGTTACGAGCCTTGTAGCAGCAATCGTCCTCAGATAATTCTTACTGAACTACTCTTAGTTCGTGCTTTTTCTAGGCTTTTTATAGTAGGAGTGCCAAATATGTATAATAATAATACTTCTAGCAGAGAATAAAGACAACGCTTTTACTAGCCGTAAAGGTCAAAAACATGAGAACGTTTAACTTCAAAATTACAACATCACCGGTCGAAGTACTGGACTGGGCAGATTCTCCCCACCAATAATGTTATAGCCGTTTACTGTTCATTGTCATAAATCACTGTCTACAGGTACTGTAGCGTAAAATAACAGGAATGGGATGGTGCTTCAACCGGTCGTCGCGATCATCCAACAGCTTGTTATTTAATACCATAGGCCCACACAAATTTTTAACACCTTTTTATGTGTATTAACTATTAAGTGGTTTGAAGTCGATGGGGTTTGGCCTGGCAAAATTGACCCCTAGTTTGCCCTAGCCAACAATATTGGATACCCGTCAAGTATTTAATCCAGAGAATAGAGCAAACAAAAGAAATGCTCTCCGTTTCTTCTGTCTTTAATGGTATCACGGTTTGACCATAGCTGTACAATGCTGAATGCTTACCGAGGAGAAATAGTAACCGCAAGAAAACTCAAATCTTTTGAAAGCCGCCAAGAAAATTCTCTTTTCATCAACTCCACCAGCCTTTTGCAGATTTGACAGCAAGCCGCGAACAAAACTTGCGTTCTTTAGAATGTTCATAAAGTCAACAGAATTGATGTATGAAGCCAGGCGTAGGCTATGATAGGAGATTTAGTAGGTACAAAGGTCATAAGATTTTTGAGAAATGTCGGGCAACAGGAACAACCAAATTACTGAATTTGCAATGGCAAGGGATTTGCCATCTCATTTTCTATTCTGCGATCATAACAAAACAAACATAGGCATTGGAATCCCCTTTTCCCAGTTTGAATAATCTGGTTACCTGTGCCAGTGGCCTGAAAGGTACGCTGAAACTAAGAGCCTCAAAGGTTAGATGGCAAAACTTCATTGTCAAACTCCAAGGCTAACTGCACACCATCTCTCCAACACATTGTACAATCATTCTCCTCTATTTTGCAATAATTTTATATACATTGCAGATATCACTATTTTTAACAACCTCCTGAAGTTCCTAAATCACCATGTCAGACAATCTGATGACAGTGGGAGTCTTCTGTCCGGCCAAAAGGCTATGGCTTCAGTCTTGAAAGAATTCAGCTCCTTCCATAATGCAATGCAGATTTAAGATTTCATTACCTAGCATATCTTATAGTTGAGCAACTTCCGGAATCATGGATGAAAGGGGGTGCCAGATCAAGTGTTGCCTCCACCTAATTACTTATTGAACCACACACACAACCTTGATCATCAGGATTACATCACCTCTTCCTTCCTGGCCATTGCAGTCCCTGGGCCTATTGCTTTTCCTTTCTATCACACAGGTCAAATTTACTGAGGAAGTCAGCTGGTTTCACCTTTTCAAACTCGCTATATTCTATATACAAAAACTCAATAAAACTAAACCAACACCTAATCTGACCTATGAACCGCATTATTCACACAATTTGGTACGGTTCTCATTTTCCTGTCAAACTTGCTTCTATTCTGTATAACTTAATGGATCTATATGTTGATTGCCAAATCAACTTTAGCAAATAACCAGCTGTATTTGCCACCATATCAGGCTTAAGCTAGTCCTAGCAAATTTGACTAACTTTAAGATCTAATGCATTATAAGTTCCCAATAGGGAGAATGTGTCTTCAACCTTGGCTACCCTGCCAACTCCAGACTGATATGATTAAGTCAGAAGTCTGCCTATTATGACCTCTCCAGTAGAATCAATCCTTTATAGAGCATCATATATGTCCAACTGCAGTTAATGGATCAAAAACTTCTCCAAGAGAAAACTTGCAAAGCATCTGTAAATTTGTAAACCTACCAGTAATCAGCACAAGAGCAATGCCCATCTTTAAAATGATGAAACCTCGTAGTATCTCTAACAATGATTTCTCTTTTTTCTATTTGTGATATGTACTTGGTAGCTCTATGACAATCTCCGCATACTCTCAAGTTTTTAAACACCCTGATTGGAGTACCTGGTGGCAATTTTATAAGGCCATAAGCAATTGCCAACTTTTCACTGTGCCGCAATAAAAGCTGCTCTTTTTGCTCTTCCCCTACATCATGTAATGCAAATTCAAGATCTGGCACATACCCTGCTAACTTCATTTTTTTTCCAACTCCTTCAGTTTCTCATGTATAGAAGCTAATTCTGGGTGAACCCTATCACCTGATCTGAACTGATGGCCCACGCTCTTAACCTCAATCCAACTGTACCCTGGTGTCTTCACAACCTTGCAGCTTTTCATTGATTTTCGGACTCTAGCAACATGGTCCCATCTTCTTGTTGCTGCATAAACATTAGCAAGCTGAACATAACCAGTTGCACTAGTTGGATCAAGATTAAGCAACTTCTGGGCAGCAAATTCTGCCATCTCAGTGTTCTTGTGTATTCTACAAGCACCCAAAAGGGTTCCAAATATGGCAGCATGAGGTTTGAAAGGCATTTTCTCAATCAAATCTACAGCCTCTACCAATTTGCCTGCCCGACCAAGAAGATCAACCATACATGTATAGTGATCGGGCTTAGCTGCAAGTCCATAATCCCTCACCATTGAATGGAAATGTTTAACCCCAAGATCTGTAAATCCAGCATGGTTACAAGCTAATAATACGGCAACAAAAGTGATCCAGTCTGGCTTCATTCCTTTCTCTATCATCTCATCAAACAAAATCAGAGCTTTCTTACCTTCACCATGTTGAGCAAAACCAGAAATCATTGCATTCCAAGTGACAACATCCTTCCTTGAAACCTCAACAAACAATTTCCAACCATCCTCCAAAACTCCACACTTACAGTACATGCTAATCAACGAAGTTCTTGCGGTTGTATCATCACACAGTGGAGACTTACAAACGAGCTGATGCACTTGCCTGCCCAACTGCAAAGCAGACAACTCACTACACGCTAACAAAACGCTGGTCAAAGTTGACGAATTTGGCTGAATACCAAATCCCACCATTGTTCTAAAAAGCTTCACACCATCCTCAGCTCTGCAATTCTCAACATAACCTGCAATCATAGCATTCCAAGTCACTGAATTCGTCTCGGGCATCTCTCGAAACAATCTTTCTGACAATCCAATCCTCCCAAGCTTCATGTATCCAGTGATCAATGCGGTCCAAGCCACCACACTCTTAACTGGCACCTTTTCGAACAATTTTAACGCCGAGTCCAGGTCCCCACACTCTACATATCCTGAAATCATAGCATTCCAAGTAACTACATTTTTCACTGGCATTATCAAGAAGAAGTCGTGTGCTTTGTCCATTTGCTGATTCTGCGCAAAACCAGATATCATTGTATTCCAAGAAGCTGTATCTTTGATGGGCATATCTTCAAAGAAAGCCTGAGCTCTTTCCATGTCAGAATTATATACATAACAAGCTAACATGGTGTTATAAGAGACAGCATCTGGTTCAGGTATTTTAACAAACAGTTCTTGGGCTTCCTTCAATTTACCTCTCTTCTTTGAGAAACCCGCCAAAACTGAATTCCAAGTTACTGTTGTTTTAACCGTCATGTTATTGAACACGTTAAGAGCGGAATCTAAGTCACCGGATCTGATATAGCTAGTGATTGTCTTGTTTGAGAAAATGACATCACTAGACTTGGCACGGTGGTGAAGTTGTGTAGTAGGTTTGCCCAAAATGGCAGGACCCAATTGAATTTTGGTTGGGGAATCTGCTTCTCCGTTAGATTCAACATCTGGTATTTGGATTGTGCAGGAGGAGAGACAAGATACATGCTGTTTGGCGGGTGAGAAAGTTTTGAGGACATGGAGGAAATGTGGGTTTTCTGTTCTGTTGAGAAATAATAAATTTTGAATGCTGAAGTTTGGGAAGTACAAAGAACAGACTTTTGGGTTACGGTACTTGGTTATGATTTTCATTGGGGAAGTTAACTTTGCATGTGGTAAATGATTTAGTTGGATATGAGATATAGCAGTAGACTTGCTAAGGAGATCTAGTCCTTGTTTCAAAAATTCTTGCCAAAACAGGGAGAAGAAAGAAAGGGACAAGATTGAAAATACATATTTTCTGGTTGATTTCTGGTTTTTTAAAAACTGTCGCCGCTTTGGGTGTTATCTTTCAATTTGATTCGATGCGTTGAAATCTGCTTCAAATATTCGAAAGAGGAAACCGGAATCTACCTGATGGTGAGCAACTAGTGTCTCTAGATATAGGTTGAATGAAGCATGAACCGAACGAAGATGGATGGTTCACCCTTCAGAGTAAAGCTAAAGTACCTCATATCACTGCATCAGTGCAAGTCTTTCTATCCGCTCAGACCCAGAAGGAAACATAACAACTTATCTGTCGGTTCCTCCCAAGCAAATTGGGCTCCAACTTACATGGACAACTGATGGAAAAAGAAATCCTGGAAGAACAGTTTATGGGTTAATTGGTTTATCATTTCTGTCCACGACCGAAGTCTGGATGGACAGGTGCTCCTTGGAGACTTGGTACTCCAGGATTAGAAATGTGAAACCTTGTGCACGCATTATAAATAAAACTAAATTCATTTACTATTTGAAATCCTATTTACCAGACTCATTTTACTGTCCCAGATACATTATATACAGCATTATTTTTTTGCCCTACAATAACATTTTTATAATTTTTAAATATTTTAAATATATTTATAATAAAAAAAATTTAACATTTGACTTTGATCCTTTCCTTTTCAATCAACAAAATATTTTTTTTTGTTTGAATTCGATTTTTTTTAATCACTATAGTCCCATTTTTTCTCTAATTTATTCAATAAAAAATTTTAAAGTAAAAATAATTTAAAAAACATTATTTTTAGTTAAAAATCCATTGATTTTGACATTCTTTATACTATTAAATAATTTTTTTATAAAAAATAATCAATCAAATACAAAATTTAAAAGATTTTAATAAACACATAATATGACACGAGATGTCAAAATAAAAAAATTTTAAAAGACAATTTTATTTATTCTATCTAACCGGCAATATAAAGGGTGTAAAAAATCTGATAGGTAATAAACATCATTCAGGTTACTAGTTCACTCCACCTCAAACGCAGCACGGTTCCCATATATTTTAGATATTTGGGCCCAATATTTTACCCCCATCAATCCTTTTTCCGGATCTATTTGGTCATATTCGACCAGTGATCCTAAGGCAACGAAACTCTGAAGCTAGGCTGAAGCGTACACCTGAATAGCAGCCAACCTTAAAAGCAACAATTCATTCGTTTCTTTTAAAGCAATAATGAAAATAGATAAGAAACACAACAGGGAAAATTAAAAATACTTCTAAAAAAAGCTGTTACCCACCCTACAACAAACCAAAACTGATGCCACTGAGTTCAAGATATAATAATAACTCCATGTGCCCTAATTTAAAACAAAAAAGGGGTATTCATGCAATATGAAAGTTGAGAAGGAACCACAGGAATAATCTAAAATTTACACCCAAAAGACTAGATGTTTGAGATGGTTTTTGACACAGGAAATCATAATTCCCATTGATAACCTTCGAATCCAACTCTTGAATATCACAAGAAATTCCACATGGGAAATCAATGCAATGTCGAAAGCGAGGGCAATCTCACTTGCCACCCAAGGAGGGGAATTGCCCAGGGTCTTCAATAGAGGGAGCTGCAACATCACGAGCATTGCCTCCATATCCACCCCTTCCACGGCCACGGCCTCGACCACGACCAGGGTTGTAGTACCTCTCACCTCCAGCAGGCTTCAGGAATTCATTTATGCTGACAGCCTGCATTCAAGTAATGACAGTTAGACTTCCCATCGTCGTAAAAGAGATCAATGAAAAAAACAATTCTAGGTAATATAAAACGATATTCATCAAATTAAAAATTGGATGACAAGAAAGAGGTAGGTAAGAGTATAAAATCAATGCAAGCACTTGGTACATACGTAAGATCCCAATATATCAAAAGGAACTGAAGCACGAGCACCATGGCAAACATGGCACAAAGAAAAACAAAAAGTTCTGACACCAAAAACACACCTTTTTGGCTCTGTCATCTTTGTCAGCAGCATCTTTTCGTTTGTCCTTCTCAGAACCCTAAAAACCCATTACAAGTTAATATGCATGTTTAGCCTCTAGCAAATGAAATACGATTAGTTAATATGAATGTTTAGCCTCTAGTAAATGAAATACGATTCCACATTAAAAGAGGGAAATGTTTCTTACCAGCTTGATAAAGATTTCGTCATTGCTCTTCTTACTTGAGAGCTGTTGCATGGACTGCAAGTCTTTGTCCAAGCCAACTTTCCTCTCCTCAGCCTTCAGAGAAAGTAAAGCCTTCCTTTTTTCTTCAAGAACCTTCTCATACTCTTCCAATGTCATCTCCTATTAATAAAAAAAGGAAAATGGTTTTGTGAATAATAACCATATAGCACAAGAAAACATACACAATAGTTACGGCATCAAAAACAGAAAGATGAATTTCAATTTAGACGGAGCAGGTCATAACAAACATATGTTTAGCTTCAATGGACTTTAAAATTGAGCTGTTTATGATATTGTTTCAGCATTGTGATTCAACACACAGATTGAAAGCTGAATATAGGGTAAAAGATGTTTCAGAGGAATTCAACTTTCAGAGGGATTCAACTGAATTTAGGGTTGTGACGGAAAAAGTTGGGATACAGACACAGGCTAAGCATCCTATCATTCCGATTACAGATAGACATCAAGATTTGTTATGAATGCTAATTAATCAATATAAACAACTTTTAATTGGACTAATCTCTTAAGTGAACTCTTACTTGTAGAATATCTCAAGGTTAAGTACATAACAACAACTAAAACTGATACAAAATGTATGCAACACAGAAAAGAAGAGCTTGAACAGAAATGTATAAATCAGAAGTAGCAATTAATCCTCTTTCATGCTCAAAAATAATTAATTAATGCCCTTCAATCTGTGTCAATTCACAGCTAAATGAGTTCAAATCTACAGATATAAGAAGAAAATTTTAACCAACTAAATTAAGTTTTTATCAGGGACTTCTCTAAGGAAGCATGACTGAATCTAGACAATGAAGCTTACATTGCCTATTAAATAGGTAACATATCCTCATTTTTACTAAATGTGTATGAAACAAAAGGTACTTGATTGGCCATATTTAACCAAGTAAAAAATTTCATCACTTACAGGATTATATACAGGACAATTTGAGAAAGATATTGCAAAATTTTAGACGATGAAATTAGCGATCAATCTTCACATTAGCTAATAAATCCCATATTACTAATCCAGCATGACAGGCATACCTCTACCAAAATTAAGAAATTAAAACAGTTGAAGATCTAGAAGAAGGTACCATTCCATTTGTTTGTGAAGATAATCCAAGATACGACCAGGTTCAAACAGAAAAATTTACCTTTTCTTCAGGCTCCTTCTCTTCTGGCTCATTCTCAGCAGCGTCCTTGTTGGCATCTGCAGCATCCTCCTCTCCTGGCTGCTTCTCAGTGATAGCATTCTTCTCGTTGTCAACAACAGGTTCCTCAGTCTCCCTGAATTCATTTAAACAAGTAAACATACAGGTGTACATAGATAAGTAACTGCATATAAATCAAATACTGAAAAATGCTGGGAGCATAAAGACAAACTCACGGAGCAATTTCATCAGTAGGAGTTCCCCAGTTACCACGGCCAGACCCTTCACGTTTGATCTCATTCCTGATACAATATGTACAATGATGATTTTTATGGCAAATTATAACAAGTGATGAATGAAATTCCATGGTCAATACAGCATATAATAAATATGGATATTTCAGCAACAAAATACTAACCCACGACCGGTACCACTGCGGCGTTCATACGGCCTTCGAGGGCGTTCCCCTTCTCCAGCTTCCCCATTGCTATAACCACCACGGCGACCACCACGGAAACCACCACGAGGAGCACCATAGCCACGCCTCTCAGAAGTTCTCCCAGCTTCTCCATCTTCAGATGGTCTGGATCCTCCAGAAAATCCATTGCCAATGAAGGGAGTTTCATTGTTTGAATCTCTGCTAAATCCGCCACTGCCACCGCGACCACGCCCACGCCCATAACCACGTCCTTCTCCACGGCCTCCCCCACGGCCAGCTTCATTCTTTGCTTCCCTCACTTGTTGAGAAGACAAAAAACATCAGTAATAAAAACATGATATGCAACTCCAAAAATAATTGGTTTTGGTAGTCAACCTGTGCTACCACCCTGTGAAATAACAAAGAAGCAATAAAAGATGACAAAAAGTATAAACAGAGAATGTACTTAAAAATTACAAGGGCGATATAACCCATGTAAAATATTTATCACAAATAGCGAAAACAAAAATCTGACCAGAAAACACCTAGCAGAAGTATTTGGGTAGAGTACAAGTAAGCAAACAGGTGTATCAGCTGACAAATCAACATCCACAGTAAACTAAACTAAGAATAACAAAAGAATCTAAACGGGTCCTATAATGAAACTTAAGAATAAAAAATTATGAAGATTTTGTTGGCTTGATGTTTGTCTGTTCAATTCCAGCAAGTTTATGTTAAAAAGATTAACGTTATTTCAAATATAGATATTAAACAACTTTCTACTACTAAAACCGAATTTCATGAAGTACGTGTAAAGCCCAATTCAATAAATAAAAAAAAACAACTACGGAATCAACAAACATGTCCTCTTTTTCATATATTCCCTTCATTTCCTCGACAACCAAAACCATCTAACGCTAGTAGGCTTGAAAAAAAAGTTGAAATAAATATTCAATCAACAAATTCAATAAATTTATCATCTTTCCCTTCATGTTCTATCTTGCAAACAGAAAAAAACACGTTTCTTCATTTATAATAAAGCAAGTGTAACAAATTTAATCAAAAAAAAAAGTTAGTAAATCGAAGCTCACCAGCTTGTGCAGGGGGAGCAGGCTTGGTGGGAAGCTTAGCAGGCTGAGATGCAGGAGCAGCTGGCTTATCAGCCCTCTTGGGCTTCTCAGCCGCCTTAAGCTGAGCGGCGGCGACGAGCTGAGAAAGGTCCTCATTGTTGTCATCGTCACCGAGGATATCAAAAGGGTTCGTGGTTGCCATTTATCCCTTTGAGTTTCTGATAAGCACAGATAAATATATAGCCCTTTAGCTTGTTTTCTTTAGAACAGCAACCAATAGACCCTTATTGATTGATTAAAGCCATTACGTTTAATAGAGTAGTTGAAGGTTAGGAGTTTTTGAGAGGTGGGCAAAAGAGAGGGAAAATGAGAGAGAGCAGGAAGACTGAGTGGTGTTGGAAAACCCTAGCCAATGCGGCAGAGAAAATGAGAGTGTTAGAAGGGAGAAACCTAATCTTTAAAAACCCTAGTATGTAATGTTAGCGTAAGGGAGGGTGTATGTTTATCGTATGTGCTTGCTGTCTTTGTTTAATTTTAGCCCCTGGTGATGTAAGTAAGAGACTTATTGGACAAGATTTTACTATTTTTGGTAGTTCCTTTGACTTTTTTTTTTTTTTTTAATGTGATTAAGAAGATAAAATAATCGGTTTCCATTTTTTTATTTACAAAATGTAGAACGTTAAATGTTATAATTTCATTGTATGTATATCAACTTTAATTTTTTTCTCAATCAAATATAAGAATTTAATTTTTTTTAATACATTAATTTTTTCATAACTTTCTATCAAGTATTTCGGTCAATTTTTCATCGTTAAGTAATAATATGTTTGTTATCCCAGAATAACAAATTATAATTTTATCATTTTTACATTAATTGCATAGATTTTAATTTTTTATTTAAGTACATTGATTTTTTTAAACTATCAATCAAATTTTTCGTTAATTAATAAAGTCTTCGTTGCTATTAGAATATCAAATTACAAATATGTGCTTTTTGCTTTGTGGAGAGAACTTTCTCTCAAATTATTCTACCATTGAAAAATTGATAGAAGAGTTAAAAAATATATAATTTTACTATAAAACTCCTTATATTCAGACATAAAAATTAAAAGAAAATGCAAATGTGAGTTTTTTTATCAAGAATATTCATTGTTTGTAAGCATTCGGAAATAGAGTTTCCTCTAATAAAAAGAGGATAAAATTATTGTAATACCAAAAAAATTTACATGATAGTATATGATGTGTATATGTGTGCATATGTGCTTTATTTGTGTATGTAATTTAATATTTTTATGTATTTAGATGATGTGATGATTAGGTATAAAGTTTTAGGATATATTATATATATTTTTTAGTATTATAGATAATATTTTTATAGATAGAAATTAATCCTATAATCTTAGCCTAAGTTATTAGAAATTAAAGGATTAAAATAGTAATAAAAATTAATAAAATAATAATAAGTTTTACTAGCTTTTAAAGGGAATGCTAGTGGCTATGAAAGAAGAGCAAAAGTTTTAAAACATATATTAAAATTAAAGAGGAGACATGAATGGCCATGAAAGAAAAGAAAGTGGCTATAAAAGGAAAAGCTTAGTGGTAATGAAAGAAAGCCATTTAGTGGCTATAAAAAAATAAAGTTAGTGTTCTTTTATTATTTTTAATTCATGCACTTAAAATTTCTAAATATTTCATGTGGCGCCCCTCCCCGGTTCACTCTGTATTACCCAAATAGGAGTGGTCGGGTAAGGCGTGTCACGCCGATACAATCTAATCCCGACTTAACTCTTACATGTACTTGCTAAAAACTTACTACATGGGACATACGTAAATGCGTAGAAAGAAAAGTTATATAATCGTCGCAAATACGACTACATGTTAGGATGCGTATATGACAAATTACATAACATGAGTCATTACGACGGAAGGAATTACAAAAACAACATGTACATAGCGATTAAAATGTCTACCGAAACCCCAACCAAAACGACAAGTAAAATAAACTTCGTTACACTTGTGTCATGCATGAGCCTTTTTGAAGAAACCGACAAGCATCCTTACTAGTACTATCGTCGCTTTTACCTATCATGGCATGCAATAACAAACAGGGTGAGTCGAAGCTCGGTGAGTAGGGTGATGCACGTGTTATGCAATGTTTTTCCGACTTCCCCCATTATTCTCATCAATTTGAAATGTTAAGAGTATCTTGGGTATTAGTAAGTCCGCTTCTACTCTCGGTGATTGTCGAATAACCTCGAGCAATCGATTACTACCAAATAACCTCAACAATTAGTTACTATCGAATAACATCGGTAATCATTTACTCGATTCAATCCATCTCCGAATTCATATAATGCACGTGAAGTTACGTTTACCCTATTAAACACCTTACAACTGCCAAACCCTAGACTATCAAATCATTCTCGGGATCCAACCCATATAGGGTTTTCGATATATTCTCATATCATTTCCATAATATTTCCCCCAAGGAAAATCAATTACCGTTGACTCATATTAGTCAAGTCATAAACTTTATGTTGCACGTAGGCACTTTCCTCCTATTAAATTTAGTAAGTGTCATCGTACAATTCATCCTTCACTTGACGTATGTAATTAGTAGCATTTTAAACTAGTTTAAAACATATTAAGGTGACATTTTCTCTCCGAACCCAAAATAGGGCATTTTGGGTTTTTAAACGTTCTAGGTCAAAATTTCGATTTACCTAGCAATTTTTCATGTCTAAACATCCTCTTATACTTATTAGGGTGTACTCAAACCATTAATTATGGAATTGAAGGATTTGAATCCAAATCCTTATAGTTTAGGGTTTAAGCCGAATAGGTCCTTAAAGTGACCAAAGATTACTTTTTCATCCCAACTTGCTAATGTATACCTAATTAAATTGTAATTGCGTCTTATGCCCTTAATTACATAAAATGGGTCCAATCTTATTCATTTTCTTACTTAGGCTGAAAGGATTCTTTAGTGAAAACCCTAGGAATTCATTTTCCCCTCATTTCCAATTTATAGTTTATTATAGGGTAGCCTCTAATCAAGTAGGCAATGTACCAACTTATGAGCATAATTAAATCTTATCCTTTTGTTATTAGAAATTAGACATATTTATGTATAACATATCCAAAAATTAGGTTTAAATACCAAACACACAATTCATAACATAATTTTGAAGTTTAAGATTCAATCTATCCAAGCAGTAGTTCACCCAACACGATACCGTACTAAAACGGGCATAAATTTTTCCGTATTAACCTAATAATAACGATATTTTACAAGGAGTTATTCAAGACATAAATAAACAAATTTTATTCCTTAAGATTCACCCAAAAATCAACTAAGGTCCTTGAACGAGCAATACCAAAGTCTGACGTAAATTACTCCTCAATAACACCGATTTAGCCATTCATTCCAACCCACATTAACCATGTGTTAGTCCAATTAAATTTCAATCCAAGACCAATACAACTCATTTCCACATACTTGGACATGCACTAGGCACTATAAACATCACAATTCATCACCTACACAACATTCACAAATAGATCAAGCCAATACATCATAAATCCACCAACACAAATCAAGCTCAACAATACAACAAACAACTCAATCAATACATAACTCAAACACATAAAAATGGAAATTAAAAGAATTAAAAAAAGCTACTTACATAGCTTAAGGTGTGATTAGGTTTTCCTTAGCTTTCTTTTTTTCTCTCTCCCTCTTACGGTTTTCTCTCTTTTCTTGGTGCTTCACAGCTTTTGATTGAAAGTTCCAGCCATTTAACCCTCTTTCTCCCTTATATACTTCCTCTTTTCTTTCCTCTTTACAATTTTCTTGAATCAATTGGCCAAGGTGGAAAGTACTTGGTGACTAGGGAATCAAGTGGTCGGTTTGAAGTTAAAAGTAAGGTGAGTTGGCCTTAATTCATTTATTAGGATGGCTTAGGTGTCTAACTAAGTACTTAGTCTAACTAAACACCTTAACTAACCAAGTGTAAGTAGCTAATCTCATTTCTTTCCATTAAATTTCAGAAATCTCTCTCCCTAAACTCGGAATTTTCTTTCCTAAAATTTTCAACAATGGTACATCCAAATGGTCCGTACTAAATCAACCATAACTTTATATATATAGATCTAAAAATCATAAAATTTTATAGAGAGCTAGCAGACACATAGATGAAAAACTTTTATTCTTTGAGTTTTATCCAAAAATCACTCTAATATCCTTAAATAAATCACACAAAGTTTAGAATTTTCCACCCCTAAAATTCAGAAAATTTTCTTTTAAACAATTCAAAAATTTTCCAAAAATAAGTTCCAATGTTCCTAAAATTTTACAAAAAATTTCTCACTAATATAATGCATCCCAAATACTTAGAAATATACCAAGGATAATTAACTAAATTATCCGAAATGTTTCCTCTTGAAATTCACCACATGAACGTTAAACATATCGTTATCGTAAAAACTTTTAAAAAAATTCATACTATCACTTTTACTTAATATAGGCATGTTTATGAACATTTAAATATGTATATATGTTTATAATTAATAAATTTCACGGGAGTTACATTTCAACTTCCCATACCTATATATAGAGGGTGTCATTCTCCTCGTTTAGGAAAGTCATTTCATAAGTTTATATTTCAAAAAGAGAGAAAGAGAGAGAGAGGGAGAGAGAATATAATTGAGTAAGAAGTGAAGTCAAATGTATTTGGAAGAAGGTTCAAGTCTTGGTGATTCAATATCTAAGGTAAGAAAAATATTTAATTATTTATTTCTATATGATTTTAGATAGAATTGAGTTTAAGATTTCATGATTTAGGATCGATTATGTAAAAATTATATTTTAGTATTGAAATCTTAAATTTTTATTAGAATATTTGATGATTAAGTGTATTTAAATGAGAATTGAAAAGGTTAAGTTAAAATTTAATAACATTAGATTATATGAATATAATTAGAAGAGAATAGAGTTGATGATTTAATTATGATTTTTTTTATTTAAAAGAAATTATAAGAAAAGAATAAGAATTAATAAAAATTAAATGATTAGAGATAAAATAATAATATTTATTTTCTTATGTTATATGGTGTGTATGTTCAAGGTTTGAATCAAATCGAGGTACCGATTTTTAGAGAAATGTTACAATAAACAAATGGTCTTATGAGAATCAAGTAAGT